ACAAGAGGACACTTCCAAGTTGAAATGCGAACGGAAAGAGACACCGGACGGTTAGTTCATTACCCAACCTCTCAACACGTCTCCAGGTCACCCAATGAAGGGACTAGATAGACTGGGACTGGAATGCCAGCCCGAAAAATATGTAAATTTCTCCAAGTATGAGCAAAACACAAATGTATGAAGTATGCCCATGTTCTCTCCAGAACAACATCGTCTCAATATCAACCCGGCCCCCGACCACAATTAAGTAAATTACATTCGACCTCGTTCGAATTAAACTACATTCGACCTCGTTCGAATTAACTCATATTCGACCTCGTTCGAATTAAACTACATTCGACCTCGTTCGAATTAAATTATATTCGACCTCATTCGAATTAACTCGCATTCGACCTCATTCGAATTAACTTACATTCGACCTCGTTCGAATTAACTTGCATTCGACCTCGTTCGAACTAACTTGCATTCGACCTTGTCCAAATCGACTCACATTCAACCTCGCACGAACCAACTCAATACAGGTTACGTTCGACCTCGTTCGAATTAACACCTGCTAATCCACGACCATGGCTAAAGCCAAATTTTTATTATTAAAACAACATTTCTTACTTCAAATATATTCCTAACAAAAGCTAAAACAGATGCTAGCAAAAGTATGTACAAGAATTACAAGCAAAAGAAAGAAAAACAACTACGTGCTACCTAAATCGGCAACACCTTCTCCACCCATTTCTCCACCTTCACCGTCGGGATACTCATCATCGTACAAGGCATCCTGCTCAATCTTTTCCATGTCTTCCGCAGCATCACCAGCTTGTGGTGTGGCGGGGTCATAGCCACAAGCAAACTGAGCTTCACGTGCCTTAGCACGTGCATTTTCTAAGTCGGCTTCCGAAACAACCCCCGTCCCCATCAGATCCCTGAATATGTCCAGCTGGGCCTCAGCGTGAATCCATTTCTCATACAGATCCCGAGGAACATCAGGAAAAGAAGTACGGGAGGAGGACGGATGCGCCAATAACTGTGCCTTCTCGGCCTCGAGGGCAACAACTCGATCACTAAGGTTTGCAGTCTCTTTTTCTAACTCCCTAATCCGCTCATCAAGTCGCTCCTCTCTGAGCCTAGCCATCTCCATGGCGCAATCCCGTTCAGAACGAATAACACGAATCGCGTCCTCTAAAGTTGTAGCTCTATGCGTAGCTGATAATTGGGCCAACTCTGCCCTCTCTAAATTTGCTACCTTCTCGGCGACCTCGCCGCTCAAAACGGCCGCTCAAAGTTGACACTCCTTCTCTCGGTACGCAGTGAGACCACTTGGGACTGAAGGCGCACTGGGCCTCAACCACCCTAGTCACTTCGAGCTCCTCCTCTTTGTCCTTCAACGCCCCCTCCAGCTCACTATATTTTCCAATGACCTTCACCAATTCATCATCCTTCTCCTTTAGCTCGTTTCGGAGGGTCCGAAAGTTGCTACTACCATCAACTCGCCGGCAAAGCTCACGGTGCTTATCACGATATTCACGATATTTCCGCTCCATCTTTTGGAAAATAGCCTTACGCCTCTCCTCTCGGCGGGAACTTTCAATCTCCAAGATCACGGTCTGAAAAAAAAAAGCCAGAGCGGGTAATAATAAAGTCAAAATCAACATAAAAAACGAATAAGGAAACAGAATACCAAACATACTCTAAGAGCAAGGCCGGCTATGCTCTTCGACAAAGTGGAATCCTTCAGCTTCTCGAGGGTCTTACCCTCCACATCGGAATAGAGTGGACCAAGAGAAGGGACCACGTCCTCTGTATCAACTAATAGGTCCCAGCCCAAAGGGATCACAATGGTCCGCGTGCTCCCTTCTAACCTCACCTCAAGCCGTGTAAGTCCTTCCCCCATCATCCTAACTTCCTCGGCATCTATATCGGAGCCCGTCTCATAATCCTCTTCGGCAACACTTTTGTGCTTGTTGTCAACCCTAGAGGAAGGGCCCTCGATCGGTAAAGGGATTGATGTCTCACCCCCTTGTAAGGTGTCGGGTATCCGCGCCGACCACCCTTCAAAACCCATTTCGGCCTCAAGGAGCAAAGTACATCCCTCAGCCCCCGACTGCAGCGGGATCGTGAACGGCTGCTCGGCACCAACTGTGAGATCTATAGTCGTCGTTTCTCTGATGACGAAACTATCCATCACCGAACTTTCCATGCGGACACTTCCTTCGCCGATACCTACAGATCGCCTATTGCGGCAAAGCATATTATCATCAGTCGGCGATGATCCTTCCTCATCGTCCTCGTCAACTAGATGATGTAGAGGTGAAGTTGAGACACCCGTCGCAGTAGTCGATGATCGAGCAGGTCTCACCGCAGCAATAGGAACAGAAACGGCCTTCCTCTTACGGTATGCCGGAGCAGGAGCTTTTCGCCTCTTCGAAGACCCTCCTGCAAAAGTGATTAGAACGGCAACTATCAAAGCCATGACGAACACGCGACCATAAGGCCAAGACGGCATAAGTAAAAAGTCACTATATAAACGGACAAACTCACCGGTCGCTGAAAGCTTGGGCCCGAACTTCTGGAAAAGGTCGGCCACCCACGAATCCCCACTGTGTGGGGCAAGATCTAGCTAACCCATTCGTGAATATCTGCGACCAATTGAGGGGGCTTGGTCTCAGCTGAAGGAGAAAAAGACAGAACGGTTAGACTACGACCAGAACGAGCAAAATGAGCACTTAGTGAAAATGCTTATGAGCGTAATTCCACGCCTCAGGAAATCCATTCGCGTTCGCTACCACGTCCTCAGTCTTGACAAAGAAGTAATTAAACTAGAATCGATGATTTGCTTTATCGTCCATCTTTACTACCAAATTTTTGCCTCCAAGGTGACGAAGGTGCAACATCGTCCCTCTATAAAAACTCAGTGCGAAAAGGTGCATCAGGTGGCGAAGGGAGACCCCGCGGCCAGCCAATTCCGCGTACTTTGTCAGCATGAGGATGAGCGTGTAGATATAAGGAGAAAGCTGAGCCGGAAAGATGCCGTAGTAGCGGCAGAACTCCTCTGCCAATAGGAGAATGGGAAAAGAATAGCCCACGTAGAATGGATATGCATAAAACGCGCAATATCCAGGGCGATGAATCTGCACCACATCGCATCCATCTCAGACTCTACGGCCTCAGGGTCATCCTCGGGTAGCTTTGAGAAGTCAGTTCTAGCCTTATCGTTACGGGAAATTATTTCCTCCACCGTAGGAAAGCTTTCATCTTCTACAACAATAGCAGCCCCACCGTCATGGGGAGCCATGTACACTGCCAAAGGAGAAGGATTAGGTATCCCCTCAGAACTGGAAGACACATTAACTATTTTTGTTTATAAATAGAGGGGGAGAGTCAAGTAGCAAGAACCACTAAAATCGGTGAAGGCAGGAGTATGAAATAAGGTCAAGAAAGCAGAGATTCTGATTGAGGAAGAAGAGGATATGAAAATTTGATTTTTAGAAAGCAAAGAGTGAACCTAAGAACTGAATATCCCCATTTATAAGAGTTAGGGCATCAATACCAAGGAAGCAAACCGCAATTGCCCAGCTCAAAAATCTAAGCGGCAGAGGCAGAGGAAACGATACAGGGTATCGAGAAAATAATGATGCATGATGACATGACGTCACGATGAAACGACGTGACCCTAAGTTGTGGATCATAAAAGGCCACGTTTCCATTCCGTTTGAAGTGCTACTACTCGACCTGCTCGCATAAAACTTCTCAAGCCTGACAGACAGAGTTCGCTCATCGAGGTCGCCTACGGCAGACATCAATAAGCGGAGGGACTAACTGTATGGGTCAAAATCTGCTTTCATTAAGATTTGACACGAAGCGGTATCATGGAAAGCGATATGGCTGAGGCCGATTAGTAGAAAACGGAGCTTGTAGCAAAAGAGTCAATAATGGCCGAGATCGAGTATGAAGGGCAGTACTAACGGCTAGTTTTCGAAGTAGAATATTCTATGGTGTCCGTGCTTTTATGGTTGATTGGGAAATGTCCCATATAAATAGAAAAAGAGATATGGGGAGAGGGGGAGGTAATATTCTCTGATAAGAACATTCTATGAAAAACAGACTTTCTCTCTAGATAAAAGACAATCACTACCTTTCTAAAGAGATTCGATTGTCTACTATTCTACACTTTTTCCATTAGATCCGAGAAGGGTCCCAACATTCTAGTATTTGTCTATTATTCATCATTGTCAGAAAGGAGAATCACCTACTTCATTCAATATTGGGTGAATCATTCTCCTTATTTACTTTAATGCCATTTATCGTTATTTATTGTTTGATATTCCTCCATCATTAATGATCTTGAAACATTGAATGTACATCACATTTAATCTTCTCTCAACACTGCTCTTGCGTTATTGGTGTTAATCGGTTATAGATCTGAAGTTATTATCATTAACTAACTAGGTTTAGCCCTTCGTAATACAAAATTAATTAGTTTAATCAAAATTCTACATTTTTTTGGTCAAACAAAGATGTGACTCAGTGACTAGGTTTAGCAAACTCATTATTTATTAGTGCAATTATTCTTTAAGTTTTGAGATAACTCGTGATATTTACGCAATGAAAATTCTTTGACATTATGTGGAAGTAGCCAATATGAGCTCATTAAGACAGAGACGTTTCAATGTGAGCGTTCCCTTTAATATTAATGTCATATCTTTTGATGCTACGATATGTAACTACTAACTAGTATATTGATGACGAAACTAACTCTTAGAAGATACATATTACTATCTATTTCGCGAACGCCAGCTTAAATGCAAAGCACAAACATCTTTTCTTAATAGAAGCGTCATATTCGACCAATAGTTGTTCGCATATTAAACACTACCCATTGTTAGGGATTTATGTTTCTAATTTTTGAAGTGTTCTTTAAAAAAATCTGAGCATCCAATTCTAAACCTTAAGGCTATACTCAGAGTAGCCCATGATCATTTAAACCTCTCTTTGAAATCCTTACAGAATCGAAAAGGGACAAGTATAGTATTCTCTAATAAGAGGACGATCTCAGCAGACAAACGGTTATCAGCTCTAAAATATTATTCCGAACTGTAGAGATGTCAATCCAAAAGAATCTAATTTGAAAATGATTCAACTATGGAGAACTAAAAGAAAAAACAAATGGAGCAAAAAAAAAAGTATAGTAGGGTCAAATACCACAGAATTATATCACGAGAAGAGTGTTGTTGTTCAGTTGCCTATCACGCTGAGAACGAATTGGGTTAGAAATGTTTACTAAGATCTTGGAATTAAGTTGCATGTCTTGTTGGGACGAGGAACCTGTTCAACACGATTGGCAAGACTTAGATTCTGTGACTTTGAGACCATGTTAACCATAGATGGAGTTTCATAGCCAATTGCACCACTGTTGCTTGAGCTACCACCTTGCGATATTATTTGTGTCGTTGTGTCTCCTCTAGTTGTGGCTCTTTGCCAAGAATGTGAGCTCAAACCCGAGAGGACATAAGCGCGTCCTGTTTGTTCATAGCGTTCCCTGCTCGCCATCCTCTCTCTGATTTCAGTCAGTTCAGTGTCAAGCCAGTTACAAAGAGCATCACCTGCTTGGGCAGATACAGAAGATAGAAGAGAGGTTCTTCTGTTGCCTAGAACGGCTTGAGCAGCCTCAAGATTTCCATTTTCTGCCATATGTTGTGCCTCTGCAATGGTTTCTGCTACTGCCAGCCTGTTTATCTGCCTATCAACCTCACGACTTACTAGCACATCCGTAGGAGACAGCACTGGTGGCCGACGTATCTCAACTGTCTAACCCTCCACACCGACCATTTCTTCAGACGTGCTATTCTTGTAACCACATGTAATTTTCAACAGAGATGTATTTGTTGCGCTTCCATCAATTTCAGCCGAGGGAACAGGCAAGTAGACAAGAAATTCTTTCACCTCATCTGCATACAGGTTCCCAATGTTTATTATGATAGTAACAAACCTGTTATTGTATGTGAAAGAAAGAAAAGTAGACAAAATAAANACCTCACGACTTACTAGCACATCCGTAGGAGACAGCACTGGTGGCCGACGTATCTCAACTGTCTCACCCTCCACACTGACCATTTCTTCAGACGTGCTATTCTTGTAACCACATGTAATTTTCAACAGAGATGTCTTTGTTGCGCTTCCATCAATTTCAGCCGAGGGAACAGACAAGTAGACAAGGAATTCTTTCTCCTCATCTGCATACAGGTTCCCAATGTTTATTAGACCTTGCTTTCCTTGTTCAGAAATTTCACTTGTATATCGTCCCGAAGGGATGGAACCAATTTCCACTCCACGTGATGCTGACCTAACAGTAAGTTTTAATTCCTGAGCTACAACACTGAGGAGACCACCAATACACATTGCAAAGGCATCTTGAACAGTACCAACTGTCTCAATGAATGAAAATGTACCACCCGATGCATCTGAGATAGCATGCATAGCAGAAGAATCATGGTCTAACCCAAACCCAAATGTATGTACATGAAAAGTTGGCAGCTGGTCTGCTGCTAGTGCTTCTCTATTGCGAGGACAAATGGAAGAAGGCAACAGATTCAGATATTCTGGACCTGATGTTGCATTCGAGGATCTACGATTCCGAGGACTGTGACGTTGGTTGGCATTATCTCCGTTATAGGTGTCTCTCCCATCTGACAAGAGAACAATACTAGCAACTGGATTCCTTTCACGCCTTTCTTCAAGAACTCGAACTCCTTTCTTGAGTCCTTCTACGATATTTGTTCCACCATTAGCTGAGATGGAATTGACAGCCTGTACAGCCTCTCGACGCCCCTGCTCTGTCATCCTTCGCAAGGGGAAGTTTCTTTGAGCTCCAGATGAAAAGGTAACAACAGCTAGACGGTCAGAAGGTCCCAAGTTATCTATGACAAAACAAACTGCTTGCTTCAAGAGAGCCAATTTTGATCCAGCCATGCTGCCACTAACATCTAGAACTGTGACCAGGTCGATAGGCGCACGCTCTTGGTGCCGAGCATCATCAGCAAGTGGAGGTGCCCTTACTCCAACAAGAACAGCAAATCTTGACACCGCTTCAGAAGCAGCAACAGCAGAAAATTCTGGAAAAGCTCTCAAGACTACTCTTTCTGAATGAATGGTGGAAGGGGAGGAGGTCTGATCCACGGTAATGCTGGGAAGAGGTTCATCATCAGAGAAGTGAAGGGGCTCAGGAAGGGGCAGAGATACCGGTGGTTGATCTTCAAGTGGAGAGACACGAGTCCGTCCTGCATTGTTAATGGTTGTATCAGTACTGAAGGACGACATGAGAGGAATCTCTTTCCATTTGCATCTGCAGATAGGGCAGAGGTAGTTTCCATGCTTAACACTGTTGGCGATGCAGCTGAAGTGGAAGGAGTGGGAGCATTCAGCAGTGAATATGGCCTGACCATTCCCAGGTTTCATACTCCCAAGGCAAATAGCACATGTTCGCTGCAATTGCAACAAAAAATTGAAAAAGTGGCAAGCCAATAAATATATACATGCTCAATGAGACTGTCCATATGTAACCACATGCCTCCTAATCAATTCCTCAATTAACTTAAGAAACATTGATGAAGCCATAGGTTATATATCAACAACAACAACAGAGCCAGTGGAATTCCACAAGTTGTAGGTTATATATACACTCAAAAAAAATTTAGTGGACATTGTTGAACAGCAGGTTCACCAAAGCATAGAATTTGAATCCATCATAAGGTATACACTATACATGGGACAATGGCAAAGAAAAGATAGTAAAAAGAGCAGCAATAGCGATTTTCTGACCAAAGAAACTAACGAAGTCACTAAGCAATCGTGCCCGAGGGTGTGGTCTAGTGATCATTGAAATGGTATAAACGTTGAAAATCAAGGTTCAAATCCTAATGGGGACAAAAAACAATAGATGATAGTAGTAGCTATGCAGTGGAATAATTGAGGTTCATGCAAGTTAACTCGGACTTTATCATTACAAAAAAGAAAAAGGAAGTTACCAAGCAATCATGTAAAGACTCTCATGACATAAGCCCTTACTTGAAACCTTTTTTAAAACACTAAAACTGCTTCAACTGTACATTCACGGTAAATATTTTCAATAATAAAAAAGTTCTGGAACCTTTGGACTTTTTTTCCGGGAATAGATAAGTCATTGGACACAGTTACCGACTCATTCAACTACTTAAATCATTAATGAAATAAGCTTTTGGAATAATTAGTTACATAAGTATTAACCAGTGTTATCAAAGGCGAAAAGTGTAAAAAAGCTCTAAGGTACACAAGGCTTTAAGCGCAAATAAAGCGTGGGCTTTAATGAAGAAATACGCAAATAGAGAAAAAATACAGATATGTATGTGTAGTCCAAAACTAATAATTATAAGCATGAATAACAAATATATAGATAACGAAATTGAATTTTTTTACAATAAAGTCAAATATCAATTGTTTAACGTCTCTTCAGGATTACGCTCATTGGCAAGAAAAAGTATGTCTTAGAGCCTTGATGACAACACTGAAGCGTCCGCTAAACGAGGCAAAGTGCTCAACATGTTTTGAGCCTCGCTTTAGGATTTAAGTGCGCTTTAAGCGCACCTTTTGACAACACTGGTATTAACTTTATGAAATATTGACCAAAACAAAGTCAATTGTTTAAGCAGCAAGGACTTTTCTATAAAATATACATGAGGATATCTAGTCTAGTTACCTAAACAAAGTACTGACAAAATTAATGAAATATTAATCTTACACCTTTTGCCGGAACAAATTTAGAAGAACATTGTAAGACATAAGTTAGCTGCATGGAATTCATAACCTCTTGGGAAGAACAATCAAATTGTCGGTGTGAAAAAACAACTTATGACTTGCTAGGGAATCAGTGTTCAACTCTTCATGGCAATCAGGTAAATAAATCAATCTATGTCTTGATCTCAAATTTGCTTAGAGTCAGCTTTTCATAATAACAGTGTGCAAATAATATTATATAGGGTTAGGTTGAGTAATTTGAGCAAAGAACAATAAATACACTATGTCGTGCATTAAAAATGTAGACCGTCCAAGTCCTTATGGAGTACACGAAAAAACTATTCCAGTTCCTTCCTAACTAGTCCAAATACAACTAAACTAGCAATAACCTGCTCAAAATTACAAAAACAAACGTACAAGTCCAAGGGACATTTGTCGAATATAAAAGCGCAAAGGCTATAATAAATATACAAGAACAGGTCCAAATATCATTCTTTAACTTTTTGAAAGTTATTTTTACCAGGTCCAGCTATTGCTACTACTAATCAATTCTTATCAATCTAGCAAATTAACATTTCAATATGAAAAAACAAACTGCATCTTGCGCACAACTAATATACTCCATGTGAAGCAAACACGTAGTGCATAGAAAAAAGTCCGTCCTTTTCTACGTTGCAAAGTCAATAGTTGTTACGTCTAAGCTATTGCCAATTATAATCCTATATTTATAGAACTGGTCCAGCTTCATTCAATCCAACTTCTTTTACTAGACATGGGCACACACACATAGCTGGCGTAAGAAGTTGTCAAAAAGATCTTAGCCAACAATAAAAGATCCCCTATTTGTCCAAAGCTGAAATCATCCAAATTTTCAGCTACCCAATAAATAATCCACCTCTTATGTAAAAAATAAAATGAGTCGGGGCTAAACAGTTTTGTTTGTTTAAATGAGTAGGATAATACCATTAGGTAAATGGTATCGGGTTGTACCTTAATTAATAGTGGTTGTACACTAGCATCAATTTTAGCAGTAGAAATTGAAAAGGTATTTTCACAAAGTCAAATTTAGAAAAAGCCTGCACGGAAAGCCAAGAAAGGTAACTTTTAGCTTAGAACTCTTTATTAAAAATGACCTTTTTGACCTCAAGAAAGGGGCGTTGATACCAAAGCAGAGCGGAGGGCAGTATAATAATCATGCATGCATTCGTCATCAAATGACTTGTAAAGCTGGATTTCCTTTTAGTTTATTCACTTATTCAAATAAAGCCAAACAAACATAATAAAATTTAAAACTGAATTTCCAATAGTACCCCGGCTCAGATCCCCAAAAACGGAAGAATCCAGTAAATTTCGCAAAATAACGAAGGTAGTTTTGTCCAAAACAAATTCTCCTTTCATTCCAGTTTAGGAAAAGCACAAAATTCTGCTCCTTTTTCGCGATGGTAAAATACCAGCTGTCATCACCGGTGAAGCAAAAACCGACTTTCCGGCGAATCAAAATGGATAACAAATCAAATACTACCGGCGAAAGACAAGGAAGAAACAACCGACAAACTCAAAAAAAGAAAAAAGAGGAGGAGAAAATTATTTAAAAGAAAAGAGAAAAACGGACCTTAGAGGATCGGGAGGTGGAGCTGAAGCTTCGGGAGAAACGGGAGAAAGAGGAGGAAGAAGGGGCGGAGGGCGGACGAGGAGGTGGTGGCGATTTGGAATTGGAACCGGAGGATGCACCATTATCGGTAGGAGACTTAGGTTGTTGCCTAAACGACAGCGTTTTCTGCAGTTTGCTCCATGTCCCTGACATTCTTCTCCTTTTAGCTCTTTCTATAGAACGAGAAAGAGAAATATAATGGATTTTAGGGTTTGGGTTTGTATGGCAAAAAAAAGAAGAAAATACGAACGTGAAATTGGAGAAGAAGAAGAAGAAGAAGAGAGAAAAAAGAAAGACAATTTGGATTTTAAAATAGTGACAAGAATTTTCTTTCTGTGATATTTGAAAAGACAAGAATGATACGGCAAAGTGTATCTGATTTGATCTAATTAATTATTCGCCCTTCTCTCTCTTTTGATTTGGTTCCAAAAACGGAAGGGCTTTTCATTTTAGCTAGGAGTAATTGTATGGGTGGGAGAATAAAACTGCATGTTACCATTTTCCGTCATAAATAAGGTAAGAGAGGGAAGAGGGGAGTAATTTGGGGAACTTTCAATTTCATTTATTGTAATGTCTTCATACATATTTTAATTGTCTAGATCCTCATAGCTGACTTTTTGGTAATTTACAATTCTCGTCACTCAGGGGCGGTTTGGTTCCCAAACAAGTGATACCGAGACTAGAATGCGGGAATTAAATATGTCGTAAGGTGTCGTTTGATTGCAAAGCAGGATATTAAAGGATTAACAATTTTAAAATTATAATTCTGAAATTACTATTCCACATCTAGTATGGAATAGTTAATATAACCATTAACCAAACACGGGAAAAGAATCAATTCCCACCTCCCGGGATTATAATACCTAATCCCAATAACCTAATGACCCTTAACATCATTGTTTTATCCGGGATAGTTAATCCGTGGATTGTTATCCACATTGAGTTTCTATAAGAACAATATCAAAATCTTGTATAACTAATTTCTAATTGCTTATGCCGGAAAAATTAATTCAGCCAAATACATTGACTATATAGTCCCATATTCTATTCAGAGATTATTTTTCTTTATCGCATGAATCAACGATCACTTATTTGTAAATTTTAACCATAGTAATGTGGATATTCAAGTAAAGACAAAACTTACAATTAGTGAGTTGTGTTAATTTAGTCCCTCTACTGACATATTTTAATAGATGTTTAGGTTTAATAAGTAATTAAAGTACTAATAAAGCCTTATCACAGCATAAAACATGAGTTTTCAAATATTTTAACAATTTTGAAAATTACCAACGACTACAAATTAACAGTACTTTGAACCTCTTGATGGAACAAGTTTAACAGTATGGCGCAAAAAACGCTAATACCTTCCCAAATATTAATGAAAAGGTTTTATAGTCACACAAATGTCATGACCCTACAAATCTTTTGTTCCTTAAACTTTTAGGACCACATATTTCGAAAGTCTTATTTTATTTCTTAAACTTTTGTCAAGTCAAACTACCTCATCTAAATCGGAACGGTGAGAGTAATTAATAACTCGCTTTTCAACTCTTACCTTAACTTGGGATGTTCCAGTTCCTTTTATTCTATGGCATAATTACCGGAATAATGTACAATTTATGAAAGTAATAAGGGGCTCTCAAATGCCTTGTTCTTTTCTCAACATCCTTCTCGAAGCTCAAAATACTCATTTAAATCGAATTTACTACATAAGTCGAATGTTTGAAGCTCACCTTCATCAGATGTGCAAGCCTCTGAGAGTACCATGAAACATAACTTGGTCGGGACAGGCCCTACCGTACCCGACTTCAGTACCTATTGACTTCTGTACAATTACTTCGGAGAAGTGGAATATGACAACCAACTGCTGGAGTGTACACTGGGAGGGGCGTTACCGGGTCTATATGTACTTGTGGGCATGGACACAACGCCCAAAAGAAAGGGGCGTCAGTATGAAAGATGTACTGAGTATGTAAAGCTGATAATGTATGTAAACCAAAGACATAATATAAGAGGCTACACAATTTCAACTTGAACAACGAAGATAAGCCACCGGAGGCGTGCACTGCAGTAACTATAAATCATGAATGTATGCAGGTTTTGTAAAGGTTAAGCCACTCATTGGGGCTATGCATTAAACATAATATAATATAATATTATTCAACCATTTTTTGGGACATATCATCTCACATCATAACGTACCCGGCCTCGAAGAGGACTCGATAATGTCTCATACTTTTATCACATCATACCCGACCTCAGGAGGTCTCGATTGTGCCCGGCCTAAGGAGGACTCGGTAAGGTCCTATATCTTCATCACATCGTGCCCGGCCTCAAGAGGTATCAGTTGTGCCCGGCCTTAAGAGGACTCATAATATTTCGTATCACGTCATTTTGTACTCGATCTCATAGAGGGCTTGGTAGTATACCCTAACACATCATTCTGTAACTGGCTTCATAGAGGCCTCAGTTAAGTAAACTAAATTCATGTATATATATAAATGCAATGTAAGGTTAATAGAGATATCAACGTTAGACTCATAGTGAACTATATTTCATGACCTCACGATACCATCCGGGAGCTTTTCAAATTTAAAGGAAAGTGTCATCGGTACAGAATGAATAAGGAGAACATCATTGTCAAGAGAGGCTTAGAACAATTCAGTCTTACCACATATGGATTATTCAGAAGAAGCGCTTACATAAAGACATGCCAAGAAAGAAAATTGCCTTACATACCTTGTTAAAGAACTAGCTACGCTTCTTGAATTTTTATGCTTTTATGGTGATTATTTCTACCTCCATGTAATCTCCAAAATCAGTATAAGAAGAAGATAGGGGATACAATGATGATCATTAGATCCTTAACGCTAAATCCTACAAGGTTCGCCTTTGATTTAACCTTGAATCGTTTAGGAGTTCTTAAATGGGTTTAAGAGCGTTTTGGGTGAGCTAAAAGTTGGCGATATCTTCTAGAATTGTATAAGGTTAAAACCGAGCCCACTCAATTTTTCTATCTGACCGGGCCGGGGAGCTGCATCGAAGGTCGGCCCTGTAGTAGATCAGACCAAGGTACGAGGACAAGGTACCAAGTTCGGGATTCAAGGTACCTGTTGAGATCGAGGACAACAGCGATCGAGACCGAATGAGACAGGCATCGAGCAAGATCGAAGATAACATAATAACAGAAAGGCGAAATATCCGTGACTGATCGAAGATCATGGTAAAAATCTCGGAACAGATCAAATTAGGAACGGTTAATTAGCTAATCGTGAGATTTTTTTCTGTAATTAGAGTTATACCATAAGTAGAATTCATCTACTATATAAAGGGGAGTATTAGCCATTTGTAAGACACATTGTTCTCGCATAAAAAAGCCAATATAACGATCTCTCTTTATCTTATACTCTCGTGTTCATCAGCTTAGTTTATTTTTAACCGTTTTAGTATCAATCAGTTCGAAGGCACCCTAGCTCGAGGGTTGAATTCCGTTTCAATACTGGTTCACTTTACTTTATAATTCATTTCTGTTATTAATCTTCATATTTATCAATTAGTATTAAGTGAAATCACGTATCCTTAGAACCTCATTATAAGTTTAATTATTATCCAATTTTAAGGGTAAATAGTTTGGCGCCCACCGTGGGGCTAAGGATAATAGTGACCGCTTAATATTGATTCTGATAACACACACTGTTTTACACTTGTTCTCATAAGAATCTTTGTTTTCAGGATAAATATGTCAAACTCACAAGCAGCGCCTACACACGGTGATAACGACCTCGGATTTCACGGGAAAATGATAATATAGCCGCTCCAGGGATCGAGGCACCTTAGGATGACCTCGAGGGAGCACCAATTGAAAATCCCGTTGATGTCAGTTCACATGTCGCCCTAAATACAAATTTTGGCGCTGATCCCAAAGGTAGCATACGCAGGGAAGTTCGATCAGGTGGTCAAGGTACACAGGGCAGAGAAGATGGTGGAGTTAGCCTCCAATTTATATTCGAAATGTTACAGGCTCAACAAGCCGCTATAGCATAACTACAAAATCAGCACAGAACACCGAGTAGGATAGAACCAGAAGTCGTCCACAGGCCCGAGCCTGTGCCGGAAAGGTCGAACGCCAACGAATCAGGGACTGATCCCGCCATTATGAAAATGCTCGAAGAGCTCACTAAACGGATTGAATCGGGAGAAAAGAAAATCGAGGCAAATGACAAGAAAGTAGAGACATACAACTCCCGGGTTGACCAAATATCGGGGGCACCGCCGATTCTAAAGGGTAAGGATTCAAAGAAATTCGTACATAAGCCTTTCCCTCCAAGTGCGGCTCCGAAACCCATTCCAAAAAAATTCCGAATGCTAGAAATTCCTAAGTATAATGGGACCACTGACCCTAATGAGCATGCCATTTCTTATATATGCGCAATAAAAGGGAATCACTTGGAAGACGATGAGATTGAATCTGTTTTACTGAAGAAATTTGGAGAAATCTTGTCGAAAGGGCAATGATATGATACCATAATTTGCCGCCTAATTCTATCAATTCATTCGTCATGCTTGTAGACTCCTTCGTAAAGGCACATGCTGGAGCAATAAAGGTTGCAACTAGGAAGTCAGGCCTCTTCAAGGTGAAACAAAAAGACAGCGAAAGGTTGAGGGAATTCGTATCTCGGTTCCATATGGAACGCATGAAACTACCACCGGTCACAGACGATTGGGCTGTTCAAGCCTTTACTCAAGGTTTGAACGAACGAAGTTCGGTGGCATCACGACAGCTAAAGCAGAATTTAATTGAATATCCAGCGGTAACCTGGGTCGATGTACATAATCGGTACCAGTCAAAGATCAGGGTCGAGGATGATCAATTGGGGACCCCTTCCGGTTCCGTTTATCCAAACAGGCCCCGTCGGCAGAACTCAAAGGGATATAAACAGAGAACCCCGGTCGA